TTCTTTTTTTCTGTCTTCTGCCAGTGGAATGCAGATGATGATGCCCTTTTCTAACATTGGTATTTTGTGCCTATCTTCCTTTGGACAAGAGGGATAGCTTTTTTTCCCCCCTCCAAGGGCAGCTGCATGAAATTGGTGACTGTTACCAGGTTTTGATTAGCAGCTGCAAAACAAAGTAGTCCTCTTAATTTCATTTAGTATCTGTATGGTGAAGCTTTGGCTTTGTGCAGCAGCAGTATGTCTTCACCTCTGAGATCACGTTACATTAGCAGTTTGCAGGTGGAACATATAAGCTGTTTGTTTACCTCTTAAACAAACACAGTTCTGCATTAGTTGACAATATCCAGGGTAAACTGTCTTTTTTCCAAGCCCTTATTTATTTTTGGATGCTCAGTTTGAAAAGAGCTGGCTGTGTTGTTTTGTTTGTCTTTTACATGTATTAAAATACAGAACTGCTTTTGGTTTGTTATGAAATCCTATTTTGAAACATTAAAATGTAGTTGTAATTAACCTGAAGATAAGTAACCTCAGTGCACAGTTTTCATGCGAGGAAATCTGTGGCAATACAGTTTATTCTCAATGGCGCTTTCTTATTTTGTCCTCATTTGCTGCAACACATGTCCAAGATGTGCAGCAAAACAACCTTTGCCAGTGTATATATAGCATGAAGCACTGCTTTATGTCTCTGCATTGTCTCTTCACCCCTGAGGATCAAATGCTAAAAGAAAGAGCCCTCTGTGCTGTCAGGTGTACTAGGTCCCAGACTTACAGGGATAATGACAAACACTAACAAACCTATTTTAACTCCTTTGGTGCCGTTTTCTGATCCGTATTAGCTGGCTGAGTCTCCCTGCACAGAGGTGTGGTTTCTAAAGTTAACAGGTTTTTTATTCCAGCTTAAGGATCCTAAAAGTGTGTTTTCAGTATTGCATATAGGAGTATTCTTCCACTGAACTGTAGCTTGTGGTTTGAAACTACAACTGTTGACAAGTGTAGACAGCATTTATATAAAAACTCAGAAGGTCTCTTGTCAGTTCAATAAGCATGAAAAGAGGCCTGCAGTGTTTACATCTTGGTCTCTCTTGCCAGAAGTTTTGTCTCTCAAAGTATATAATCATTGCCTCTTACATCTCAAAAGTCATTTTCTGGTATTTGAGTATAGCTTTGGAAGTGTGAGTCGTGGGAAAATATAGGCTCAAAGCTCTTGCACGAGTTTACTGACTCTTGCTTTGGCTTAATCTAGTCTATTGTGCTCTCCCAATTCTCCATGTTTTTCACTATGGCTAGGACAGAAGACAAAAAACTTCCATTGGGGTTTAAAAATCAGAGATGATTTCAGTTGTTTTAATTTGCATTTCCTATGGGGAAAAAAAGCCAATGAAGCCAGTGATGCCATTTCATCTTGTTTTCCTAGTGAAGTATGGAACAACACTGGTGTTCCTGCAAATTCCATTTCAAGGGAATTCTTTTAAAGGAATGTAATTGCCATAGTATGGTTTACAAGGGAAAGGTATTGAAAGCATCCCTCATCAACTTCATACTTGGTATGCATCAAATTTTTATTTATTCTGCTGAAATGTAAAAAAGGAATTTCATAAGCCATGAAAAATTTGGGAATAAATGTGAAACTTTTTTGACAGTATAAAATATTAATTTTATGTTTAATTTCTGCCTCTGATCACAATCTGAATCCAGTTTCTTACTCTTCACTTTAAACAACTAAAAAATCATGAGTTGTCTTTAACTTCTTCACAAAAAGTGATATGGTGAGAGAATTAAATCACTGTTACAATGAGAAAGACCTTCAAAAGTAAAATAAAACCTTATTATTGTATAGCTCTTTTAATAGGCAACTTGCCTAATTAATCATAACATTTATAATAAAATGTTTATTTTAAAATATTTTATGTAAAAATTTCATTTATAGCTGAAGGCAGTTTCTGAAATACAAATAGGAAAATGTATAATGTTCTAAATTTTGATTGTGTTAGTCTCTTATTGTCTCTCTCTTATACTTCATATGGGTCAAAGTAAGCAGCATTTGAATACAGTGAAAATATCAAGATATTCCAATTACTTGGGTGAGCCCGTTTAATGTCTTCATTGGACCCACAAGTGTTTGAAGTATGTTGCAATTAAAACCAAATATTGAAATCATAGCATTGCTTACTATTAGAACTCTAAAAATACAGCTTCTTCAGAAAGATAATGAGGAGTTAAGCAAGATCCATCATCGTCATGGCTAGGCTTTGTGAATGAAGATTTGGGAAGGGCTCTACCCACATTTGTTACAAGTGCACTGGTGGCTGAAAAGGCCAATACGAGATAGGCATGTCCGGTTGCAAAAGGCACAGCAGAAAGACTCCTTAGGTGGTATATTCTGCAAGGCACGATTCTTTCTGCGTTGTCTTTTCTCCTCGACAGTGATCCTGCGTGCGTTCTCAAAAGCATCAGCAGCGTTATAGATAGTGTGTCTCCAGGCCTCCCGATTGGAGGCCAGAGTAGACCAGTTATGTTGATCAATATGGCCAAGGCTGAGATGTTGTTTCAGGGAGTCCTTGTATCTTTTCTTCGGGGCTCCTCTCATGCGGCAGCCGGTGGCAAGTTCACCATAAAGCAAGATCTTAGGGAGGCGGTGGTCCTTCATCCTGGAGACGTGTAGCAAGATCCATCAATGACATTTAATTAACAACTTACTTATACATGGTTTAACTCTACTTTTTAGTAAAGACCTCATATGCATGATGTTCTGAAGTGCCTATTAGTAAGATAAGAGCTGTGGATTTCCAGTAGATTTTAGTCTCAGACATCAGCTTTCAGAAAAAGTCTTTCTAAACTTTCCTGTCTTGGCCTGTAACACACTTTCTCACATTTTTAACTCACCTGTCCCCTCCCTCTGTGTATACTCCATTACTTCAGTATGACAAATTCTATGGAGATTTTACATGGAGGCCTAAACTTACAGATGACTTATAGATCTAATGTGTTGTCTTATTTTCTCTTGTGAATGGTAATTATTTGGTATTATGTTTCTAATGTGGAGTGCATGAAAACCTGTCCCTTCTGTGACATGAGGAATGGCCTGTTTACTTGCATGCCTTCAAATTCCGTCTGTGTAAGTGACTGGGAACAAGACCATAAAGACTTAATGCTCTATTTGCCGATTCCAATAACGAAAGTTGTTTAACATGGGAAAGATCTTATTGTCTATGAATCCATTAAAATATCCTTCACCACATGGTCTTGCTTCCCTCTCAGAGAGCTATAGTCTGTATTTCTTCATTTCCATTTTTCTTTAAAGACTATTGTGCTTTAAATTGTCTTGTCAGTGAAGTTCTTTATTTGGTTTATTGTGTCTTTTTCTTCTGTATATTAACTTCTGACATTTGCAAAAAAAAAGACTTGTGCTTTCTTTTTCACAATGTTGATGCTGTTAAATGACTTTAAAATGTTGGACAGGGAGAAAGCAGAGTGTTAACTGACTGAAGTGCATTGGTATTAGGAAGGTTAAATACACCTTTCTCTCCTTCTAAAAATAAGTATATGATGATTGGTCTGTTTGGCTTGTTTTAAATGTATTTTCTCAAAACCGTAAAATTACTTTATTGAATCCCTTTCTCACTTTAATTTTGCTCTGTGCACAGTGTCTATTTCAGTAACTTCCAGGGGACTGGGTTTTATATTTACTGTGTATTCTTAATATGACTTAGCATTTTCTTAGCATTTTCATGCTAATAGGGATTTTGAGACTGGTGGACTAATAAAATGCAATTGTTCTTGTTTAAACTGTTTCCAGGTACATCCACCTTTATGGAAGCATTAGCAGCAAATGGTACAACCAACATACAGACATCTGTAACAGGAGTGACAGCCAGCAAACGAAGGTTTATTGATGACAGGAGAGATCAACCTTTTGATAAAAGGCTACGTTTCAGCGTGAGACAAACGGAGAGTGCGTACCGGTACAGAGACATTGTTGTCAGGAAACAAGATGGATTCACACATATTTTGCTATCAACAAAATCATCTGAAAATAATTCATTAAATCCAGAGGTCAGAACAATTCTGATTTTGGGAGGGGAAGGGTGCTGGGGGAATTCAAAGTCCTTGCCTCATTTATGCCTTTTATTCAGGCACAAACATACAAAAAACAAGATACAGGTTCTTGCAAGATGTTACAATTACAACTGACTTTATGCATAATTCACTTGAATTTAAAAACTGTTATCTGACAGTGTAGATGTACTGTCTTTTATAAGACATGCGGTGATTTACGAAGTGCAACTTGAAAAAGCTTTAGCCTCAATTAAGGTTTTTTTTTTTTTCTGTACTGGTTGCATGTGCCATCTGCTGTCCAAATTACAGAAATGCCGAATGAGTGCTTCAGTTACAGATAACATCTAATAGATCTTTCCTTAATGATTTAATTACCTTAGTCTAATTACATTTTTAAAATGCAAAGCTTCTAATACTTTAACTTTCTTTTTTTTTGGATAATGAAGAAAGTTAACTTTTCTAATATGATGGTTGAGTGGACCCTAAGGAAAAATTAAAGATGTCGAAGATCTCACAGGGGGAGGAAGGGAAGAGCAACATGCTACTTTTTAATGATGGATTAAAATAATTCTTATGAAATTTTTATCTTTCAGGTAATGAAGGAAGTCCAAAGTGCACTGAACACAGCGGCTGCAGATGACAGTAAACTTGTGCTGTTCAGTGCAGTTGGTAGCATTTTCTGCTGTGGTCTTGATTTTATTTATTTTATACGACGTTTAACAGATGATAGAAAAAAGGAAAGCACTAAGATGGCAGAAGCTATTAGGTATGTAAGATTATCTTTAGTCATCTGATGGGTATCCTTCATCATGTAACCTGGCTTGTTTTATCTTTTTCGTTTTAAAAGCCTCTAATTCAAAAAGATCACAGACATTCCCCTGTTATGAGATATGCTGTGCAGCACTTCTTTATACTTTCTGTCCCTTTCTCTTTGGGTTATCATTTCACACATCACTATTTTTACTTTTAAAATTGAACTATGAAAACTGGGAGTATGGTAATAGTCCTCCAGTTAAAACCAATTTTAAAATACTTAAATAGCCTTAGGGTTTCAGGAAAACAAATTTAATACACAAAAATACAAGATGTGCATTGAATGAGTAACTTGATGTAGTATGTTGAGAGCAGTAAAGTGATGGATATTTTAGAGGAGTAGATTAATACTAGTGAACATCATCTCAGTGCTAGGTACCAAACCTAACATTTAAACAAAAT